AATGTTTAAGAACCTTTGAATTCGTGGAATTAAGTTGATTTATTTGAAGAAAATCTAGGAAATATAAAACTATAATACAAACAAAATGGTCACTTTAGCCAAAATGCCTAAACTATGCAACATATTTAAACATTTTACATTTTTAAGATGTTTATAACATATGTAAATATTTTTGGATGCTGTCGGTATGTCCACATTGTATGGGTATATCCAAAAATGTACTTGTAAATGTTATATATAAATACCTACAAATACCAATGAGATCAGATTTGCGATATCTATGTAAGTACATTCATGCTGCATCTGTACATAAAAACAGGGTGACCGTGATTTCACCAAGTACAACATGTTCCTGGATCAACATCCTTGTTGATCCTGGAACAACATTCAAATTAACCAATCAGAATTGAGGGATAACTTTTCAGGAAATATCTGTTTTAGGCTTACGATCAGGGTTAGGTGCTTCTCCACCCTTGTTAATCAGTTATCATTTCACACTGATTTTAGGAATAAATTATGGGTAGGGTTAGGTTTAGGGGTAGGGATTGGGTTTAGTCTATATTTTTGGACAGTAATGTTGATCCAGGATCAACAAAAGATGTTGATCCAGGAATATGTCTTACTTGGCAAAATCACGGCGACCTAAAAACAGACCATTTTTTGATATACTATATGGTATTCCCCCATTTCCCCCGGAAGGACAAAAGTGTAACTTTAATAAAGCAGTTTAATTAGTTTTTGTTGTTGCCATTGTCTGATGCCACATACCTGTGATATCCAGAAATTGCACAAATACATCACATTTAAAGGTTGAACACACTAGAGAGTTAGCAGAGCCTATTCCTTTTTTTTCCTGCTGGCTTTGCAAAAACTAACACTGGCATCATTATAAAAGGCTTTAGAAGAAATTTTACTTATATGAATTTGATTGATATGAGCTTCACAAATAATCCGTGTACCACAGAGGTTTTGCATCCTATTGCTAAATGCAATTTTCATGGATGTATGCTGAACACTTCCCCCTACCTATATCAGAGTCTGAATCTTGAAGTCAGTAAATAAATCAAATGGATCCTATTTACTACATAAATGCACAATCCTGGTGCCTTCATAATCTTGTATCAAAATGCAATAACTCACTCTGCCTCTGAAACAACATCTTTTCAGCTGATATCACTAATCCCTTTTACTTTTCATCCTTTTTCCTCTTTTACTTTGGAAGGAAATAAATACTAATATATATATATATTCAGAAAAAAATTATTGCACACGTAAAATGAGTTGTGAACTAAATTTTACACTGACTTTAAAACCTTTTTTTTTCATAAAAAAATACACCTCAAGCACAACCATAACATTTGACATTTAAAAATAAGAAAAAAAAGACTAGACAAAAATGGATGCACGCATTCTCTCTTCAAGAAGTGACTAGAATTCAAGATGGCCTCCAAGTTGAGGGAACAATGGTGATGAACATGATGCGCTGTGACTACTGATCCAAAGTGAATAAAAGGCTGCACTATGCAGTGGAAATGCAGAGCCTTCTCATGGCCCCTGGCATCCATAAAAGGGGCCTCGCTCTTCTAAACTACCAATAAGCAAGCAGTGTTATCTTCAATATCTTTTTTGGGTTGTAACAATAAAACCAAAAGGTTTAAGACAAATTTTTCTGCAAATGCAGCAGTAAGAAAGTCTACAAATAATTAATCGCGCGCAATGATGCAATCCACCCAGCACTCAGAGAAAACGAAATAAATCATCTCGCTTTTCATTCTCATTTGTAACCATTCGCGTTTCTCTGAAATCTGACATTCTTAATTCCAGTGGGTGTATATTATCACATGTGCATGACTCAGCACAAACTGACAAACTGTGGACGTGCACTTCATTAGCATCAGCCGAATTCCCCTTTCTTGCTCCGCAACACGCTCTAGAGCCCTGGGCCTGACAAAGGTCATTTGCACAAAGTGACAGTTCAGTTCCCCCACAGATCGGAGTGCAAGGGGCCCGGACCCTGCAGTGCAGTCAGGCAAGGTTCTTCTCCAGAAATGGTCAGGCAAAAGAGCAAACGGCCACTGCTGTCTGAGGGCAGCCCAGTGGTGGAGAGAGAGAGACAGAGAGTAATGAGAAACAGCCTCAAGACGTTGCTCATCTTCTCCAGCAGGGCTTCATTTGTGACTAATTTAGGAGACACAATTTGGATCGTTTGACTTTGAGCCATCACATCAAGTGTCACTGTGCCTGGAGAGGAGATGATACAGAAATAAAGAGAAGAAATGCCACTTGCTGATAATAAGAATGTGGGATTGCCCGCATGTCCCATATATGGCCACCACACAAAAGCAAGGAGCCCTATGGGGACCGTTGCTTAAAAAGATCATCCATAACAAGACTGTGGTACAAAAATAACTCCATGCCAAGTAAAATATGAGTTACATTGGTGCATCAACAATATAAAGAACTTGGAAGCGGGAAAAATATTAAATAGTGCTTAAATGACTTAAAATCTACCGCAAATGGTCAACATTTGAGAATAACTTCATTCAAAGCCATTTAATCTGTTATTTTTTTCACCCCCGAGTCCTTTATGTCACATCAGACAACCATGTCATATCAGGTTGAATACTGGAGCTGTGAATAAATTGTGGCAGCTTGCTTTATAGACTACCTTGCTGTGCAAAACTAGCCTTGGCATCCCATTTTCCCAACCGCGGTTTCAAGGCCAAGGTTGACATTTCTACAGAAATCTCTAGTTTGAATGTATAAAGGCTGATGAGATGGATTTCACTGCTGTTTATGTGTAGGTGACGTTCTTGTCAACTTTTGTCAAAAAGTACCACATTAAAAATGGCTTCCAACTCCAAATGTAAAGATTCAAACATTCTAAAAGGGTATGAAAGCCTTTCCTGGTTACATTAGCGCTGATCAAAGATGTGCCCTCAAACAAATGACTATTTGGCTGTTTTAGATTCAGATCTGTTTACTGAAATTCTGGTTAGTTATTGTCAAAAACATCAACCTGTTTGAGGCCATGTTCAACAAACCTAACGTGTTAATACACCAACAAAACCATAAATCCGTTACTGCAATATTCCTGCAATCAGCTAATGCCTGCTCAAGTGCATTTAATCCAGCATCATAATTATCCATTATGCAAGTCTAATATGTTTTTACATTTCAAAACACTTTACTTTCATCCTTGGTGAGGCAGCATTTCAAACACTGGTGTTATCATAAAGTATAATCAAGCTCATGTTTTTGCTGGCTTGCTGGATATCATCCTGCAGAGTGCAATGAACCAGAAAACCAGTTTTTAGTGATCCTCTCATTGCCCCATTCAAAGGCCACACTTTGTTACCATGCACACAACCAGGCGTGAGGGATATCAAAGACAACCATTTATTTTGGACCCGCTCTGTAAAGATCTTTTTTTGTCGTGGCTGTTTGAAGGCGTGCGCTGCTGAACGCTCATCCGGGAGGGCAGAAGCTTCATTCTGACACTACAGCGGGGCTGTGTGCTCTTTTAAACCTGTGATAGCAATCCACTAAAGCCTCCGCTCTATAAATAGATGCTTTCAGTGTAATCTTCGAGAAAAAAAAGAAAAAATAAGCTGGAGCATTTAAGCTTCTCTTAACATGTAGATAGCTGAAAGTTACTGAAACATTACTTTTTAATGGTAAAGCTATATTTCCAGTGCCTATAATGATGACTGAAATGCCTTGAGATGAGACTTCTGTTTAAGAATTCATAGATACAGAAGGATTGATATTAATTATAGAGTCTGTGACATAATAAAACGCTCACACAATAACTGGGGAACAAAATAATCAATGGCTTAATCTTCATTTCAAGCTTGATTCATATTTAAAACATTACCAAATGAAAATCTCTCTCAGTTACGAGATCGTAAATGGAATATGACCCAGTTTGGAATGGAATATAAAGCTAATTTGAAAAGGGGGATGAAAAACAAAATTGGGGGCCTACTTAACTCAGCTGAACCTTGATAATTCCAAAGCACCGTGTTCCGCTTGATCGGGAAAGCTGCCACCTTCTCCCTAGGGGGTTATTATTTTCAGCTAGTGAAACCAGAATGCCATAGGATGGTTACTCCCTCCCTCTCTCTCGCAACCTCATTATTCATTATTTTTGTATCACTGTGCTGGGATTGAAGTGAGACTGTCAGCATCCATTCTCGGCCAACCATCTCTGTGAGCTGTTGTCCTTTCACAGTATGCTGGGTCATCCCTGCCTCCAGTTGATCTCTAACTTGTGCCAGTTGTGAAATGTTACAGATGCTAATTAGCTGTAATATCGGTGACCCTGATACAAGTCCATTATGCATCATCCCCCCATCAGAAATGTTTATTGCCAGCAAATTCCTTCGAAGGCATTTGTGGCTATCTGTTGCTGCCAGCGTCCGTGGCAAGAGACAAAACTGGACAGCAGAGGGACAACTGATCGCTTGTCATTGATGGAAGCTGACAGCAGCATAACAATTAAGTTTAGGCCAAAAGGCTAAGTATGGTGTCAAGTGCTTTGACCCTGTTCATTTCCAACAGTATTCAATAACTTTTTTTTTTTTGCAATATCCAAGTGAACTCTGAATTCCAATAAACATGTCAACGGTTTATTATATTAAATGATAAAAGAGATGACATGATGTAAAATACATTAGACTTAGTACCCCTTTCCCAAAAAAAACATGAATTAGTTAATTAATTAATCGCCATCCAGGTTGTTACACTTTTGACATAACATAAAAACATAAAATACATCAAGAAAGGACATTCCTGTTCTGTACACCCAGAAATTGTTGTAAAACTAAACAAACAAAAAAAAGTCATAGACATCAGTAGCAGAGCACAGTGAGCTGTTTTGGTGTTCTTTTATGTGGAAGGGTGGAGGAATACAAAGGGGCATCATAAAGACACAGTATAATTAAGCTGTGAAATGATCTCCAGCGTTAAAGGCCTGCAGCTGTCTGGTTCATACTCACCCTCCTTGGATGGGCGCCGCACCTCCGCGCTCAGATTGCACACCTGCGCCGAGCGCACCTGAGGAGTCAGGCATCCTTCGGTTTGGGGATTTAAAGGCAACAGCACGTTACTGAGCATCAGCACGCTTTCAGATTCCCCATCGCCTAAATGTTGAGGGCAGGTGCATTTAGCGTAGACTATTCCACACGATTCAGCTTTCTCTCCTTTCAAGCAGTTTTCCAACCACGTGCATAACACCTGACATCCAAACTGACTCGGGCTCGCCTTGTTTAAAACCACAAACTCCACCACAGACCTTTCCTCCTCCTCTGTCTTCTTTGTCATCAATCCGTTATAGTCGTAGGGAAACACTCGCCGGAGCTGCACGAAATTTTTGTCGTAATGCAAAAACACATAAATATTCTTGGCGTCATCACACAGGTGCACGATGGACTCGTTGATCCTCAACAGCTCGTTGATCTTCTCGTGAGAGAAGTGATCGAACTGGTAAGCCAGCAGAGAGAATTCAGAACAGCTAATTTCTCGTTTGTAAAGTTTTAGGTAGATGCTGTATTTGGTAGGATCTGGGTTCTCCAACGTCCAAGTGCAGTTTGTGAAGTTCTTGGGAAACATTTCATTTATCGAGTAAGATCCATAGATAACTCCTTTTACCAGCGTGGAACACCAAAAATCTTGGGCACCAGTATATCCAAACATAACCAGGAGATAGGTGGAAAATATATAAATCAACAGATTACGAACAGCCTTCATCCTATGTCATTTGGCCTGCAAGAGAAACAGAGATGCACTATGTTTATTGTCAGCCTATGTGGTGTGAAGTGATGCTTTGTCAAAGAGTTTCAGTCTAAGATCTCCTAACTATCCAATTTAGCTTTGTGTTAAACTACATTGTTCGTTTGAACCGCCTATTTTCAATCATAACCTACCATCTCGATTTTATGGAGATTCAAATGATCCTTTCCATGGGAATGTAACACATTTCGGATAAACATTGCCACCTTGTGGTGTTTAATAAATTGGGGGTAATAACTTTGGGCATCTGCTGTGGCAGGATAAAACTGCATGATATTTAGCGATCATATGATCATTACACACTGAATGATCTTTACAGTGTTTAAATGACTGACAGTGTCGGACACAATTATCGGGAATGTAACACATTTCGGATAAACATTGCCACCTTGTGGTGTTTAATAAATTGGGGGTAATAACTTTGGGCATCTGCTGTGGCAGGATAAAACTGCATGATATTTAGCGATCATTTGATATGATCATTACACACTGAATGATCTTTACAGTGTTTAAATGACTGACAGTGTCGGACACAATTATAATTTACATGCATTAGCTTTATGGTCGTTATATTAAATAGCGACTCGTTCGTTTGGAAGGATAAAAAAAGGCTGGCATTACATGTCACCAACAAAAAAAAAAATTTTGGCACAATAAAACGTTTTGGTTTTTTATTCACTCGAGGGTAATGTGTCGCAATTCTGCAGTGATCTACATGTCTGACTGCATAATAATCATCTACATATCTGTCTGCTCAGGGATTTCTATTCAACTAAAAAAAAACACATACATTTACTAAATATCGTCTTTTATATAATACAGAGAGATCATATCCGATTGACTGGATGGACTATAATGTCGTGATGATCTATGTAAGGATTAAAGCAGCGTTACTTTCAACATCTAATTCCCTTACTGAACGCAATCTATGATTTTCATAAGGCAAAAACTTTGATTTCGATGTAATGCATTTGTCTCCGCGACGATCTGCTGTACGTAATTCATCATAGTGTGCGCAGATGTGTTGAATTCCCAAATATTGTAGGAGTCTGAAAGAAAGGCGGCGGAGAGGGAGAGATAAAGAGAGAGGGAGATCCAGCAGAAGAGAAAAGCTATTCGATGTCCTGTTTGCATGAATCCTGCAGGCATTGCAGCTGTGTGCAGTGTCACAGCATTCCCAGAGCGAGCCTTTATTTTCACTCTTTAATCACCTTAAATGCGGCACTACTTGTACGACATAGCAAAACGCGTACGATGCAATATACAGAGAGGTTATACACGACTATATAGGACGAGACAGTATTGGCGCACACCATGGCGCGCTACTTTTCCTTTACATCCGATGTCTTGTCGCGCACTTGCACTTTTCGTTGATTATTACGGGAGCGTTCCAGTTTGTCGCGTCGCGTCACGATCAGTAATATGAACGGATCAGAAAAAGCCGTAGCGACAGAAATAAATAGCTAGATAAAAACTGCAGCGACGTCTTTTCATAGTCATACTCTTTTACAAAACCCAAGAAGTCTAGCGTGATTGTCAATCGTCAGTTTTGGGGGGCGCAAACCTGAATGTGGTCACCAAAACGGATTTTACGAAATACAGTCGGCGCCAAACTCGATTCTATGTCATTTTTTTCCTGCGAAACTCGTCGATCATCGTTTAACTTTACATTGGCCCTGGTAACGTTCGAGTCCTTTGAAAGATTGACGTAGTTTGTAGGCTATTGCATTCATTAGAATGAACTATGGAACTCAGATCTTTAACTCGTTTGTGCATTGAAGAGGGATAAACTTGGGCGAGGGCCATCTCATTGTCGTTCAAACCTACCTGTTTATCCATTTACTTATTTATAATAATAATAATTAATAATAATAATAAACAGGTCTTACCTTGCACTCTGAAAGCTATGGCTATTTTCCCCACATACTTGGAAACATCCTTTTAGAAATGAAACGTGTCGCTCCCCTGCGAATCGATATCTCCCATTGCCGATGATAGAAGTCTAGAGCAACAAGATGGTCTGTGAGCAAAAATGCATTAGACTCCAGGCTGGATCATCATCTCGCTCCTTTTTTTTTTCTTCCCACCTCAACGCAACCAAGTGATGAGAGCGCAACTGAAGTGAGCAGACACTAGAACGAGGGCTAAAAATGTTGTGAATCTCGACTGATCATTAGTCGTTGTCTGCCCGTCCCTCAAGAGATGCCCAGGTCGGGTAGCAGGTAGAGCGCAATCCCTGACGGATGGAGGATGCTGCTGACTCGCTGTGGAGTGAGATGGAAAGCGCTTTCTCGCCGAGCCTCAGGACTGGAGCTGCAATATCACGTCACTGCCACTAAGATAAGGCACGTATGGACGTCTCGAGCTGCGTCTCTCACCATCTCACCCCCCCTTCCCCTGGATAACATAGAAACTCTTTTCTATGGGAAAATCAAGGCAGAGGAATGTCCCTCGGACTGGAACTAACGACACGGTGCCTTTTCTGCGACCGCCTGGACTGTTTTAGCAGAAGCCAATGGAATTATAATTCATAAGAGGCTTGTGTCCGGGGGAATTATGTTTTTGCATGAGATTTTGAGAGATATGTACAGGAACTCGTGAAGTTGCTTCATCTTTTTCATCATCGCGCCATCATAAAGAATTAGATTTTTTTTTGGTCTCGAGAAAGAAAATACTGTATTAGCCTAAATGTGTTCATCGAAAAACTTGTAGTCACTGAGAATATTATGATTTTCAAAGGACAACAAAACTTGCTGTACTTGGGAGATACATCGACGTATACTTAGCTAGAAGGGACTATCGTGGATATTTTTCCAGATAGGCTATAAATGTTGATTTTGATGTTTCTTTGTCTTCCAGAGTGGGTTTGTAATTGCACTGAGCCATCCATACAAGAATTCACCAGGAGATAGTTTCAAACTAAATATCATAGGTACAGTTATTTTTCATACAATAAAATTGTGACAAAGCTCTTGCCTTGTCAAAAACAAAATGAATAAAATAACATTCTGAAGAACACAGTTTTAATCTATTATGGTAGTAACAATACGATTAGTATTTTGGAGACGTGTACGAGGGTGATCTCAGTCAATTTATTCCGCGACAGACCTCTAAAACCACATAGGTAAGGCAGGTTACTTCAGATAAACATGTCACAATGACGGACTTTTAGCGACGTAACGCAAAAGAGCATGAGCAGCGTGCTATTGTTACCTAGGTAGAGTATTGAGCGACAAGCGCAAATACGCGCTCTGACTGATTTGTAATCTAACAATGCCAATACCAAACCGTTTTAAAAACACGTTGGAAACTAAACACTTGCATAAAAAAAAAATATTTTAACAACATTTCGATTTGGGGGAAACAGCAAATATTTCGTAAACTAGTTCGCTAAATAACAAAGGCAATAATTTGTTTTTTTTAAAGGACTACCCATGGTCACCAATTGCTCTTCGGAAATGATGCCCCAGTTTCGCAAAGGACAAACAAGTTGGAGATGGATGGAAGATGCTCACGCTGCAGTTGGATGAACTAGACACACATTTACAGGCAATAGGAATACTTTTACAGTAAACAATTTTTACAGTTTTAAAGTTTCTGCTACTCATTACAATGTATATAACTACCGGGCTAGTTTGATATACAAGACCAATACTGAAAAAAATTAATTAATTACTTAATTAAAAATTGCAGTAGCCTAATATTAATACTGATCCAGGTCCTCCGAGGTAATTTTCACTAAAATCGATAACTGAGACGACAGATGGAATTAGTTCCTATAATGCTAAGGATACAACATTGGCACTTGGTAAAGGTCTGGTAAAGCTGCGATTTTTTTAAACACTTAAAAAAAAATATATATATATATAAAAATGAATAGGCCTACTAAAGATATTTCCAATGTTCTCAGTTATAAAAGCAGACACCAAACAATCAAAACAATAACAACAAGGTACAATATCAAATTTTAGGCCTACTTTTTGTTTGGTAAACATGGGAAGTACATGCTATTACTTATTTAATTTGCTCCTGGCTTTTAATGTAGATCTATATAAATAATGAACACAAGCAACCCACAGTAATATTTTCGCAGCATACAGATTAAATGATTCATATAATTACTACGTTATGGCTGTATAGTTCACTGCATGGCCAGAGGTAGCTACAATCTCATGAACACTAATCAAGTCTTTCTCATATGTATTTAGCCTGTGACAAGGTCATTAAAACGTCAAACTAACCTGATCAGAGGAAAGCTGACTATAGCCTTGAGCTTTCATCTCTTAGAGGCTTTAGTCTTTATTTCAGCCCAGTCAACATCATGGTCCTATCTGTATCATGGTTTCAGTGTAAGATGGCTTTGATGAGGAGCTGGCACCGCTATTAAGACTTTGACCTCTGATAGTAGCTCACATTATTGTGCTTTATAGGTTCAGTCTTGGGAACTGTCCTCATGTTGTTGTGTAAATCTGATTAATTTTTACAGAAAGTGTATGTATCATTCTCAGGTTTAATGTGTCACAGATGTGTTTACACAAATCATGAAATTGTCAGTAAAAAACGTATTATACAGAAATACAGAAAAGAAAATGGTCATCACTCTATAGTTCCTTCAAAAATCTACACTATAAACAGGAAGATTTTACAAAAAAACTTTTGTGTGTGTTTTGAAGAATAAAGCAATGCATACAGGTTTGAAACAGTATGATGGTGAGTAAATAATGGCAGATTTGTTTGTTTTTTCATTTCAACTATCCCTTTAAGACAAACACATACATTTCTAAATGAGTGCGGGCTCATATCAGTTCTATTGCTTGCTTAAATCTTGCTAGTTTGTGACTTATCTTTTTTTAGACTTTATTAAATATCGTGTAATATTTGTGATCCTAACTAATTGAAAAGCAGGTAATTTGCAGTTGAATATTTATGTAGCACGAAAGATGGCAAAATATCGTAATTTATTGAATAATCTCTTCATGGTGTGAAAATCTTTAATTTAACATTTACTCACACAAGTCATAGTATAGAGTCAACAAGAAAAATATTTTAATCAAATACCTATAAGTAATTGATTTAAATGTCAGTGATGAGTGACATGTGAAAGCCTATTAACAACAGAGAAAAAAGGCAGAAAAATAATTAGTTACATAAACATTTCAATGACAGGGTGTAATTTTTTTTCTGTGTTTCCTATGCGCCTGCAACAGTCATTCCATAAGCACCAAACTGGATAATTGACAGTATGAAGTGTTTTTAAAACCACCGGGAGGTGTACCACCCATTTACAGAGAGGACACAATTGTTGCTGTCATCTATAAAGTCCATACAAAGATTTTTATCAGTAGCAATCTGTCAAAGCAGAGGCACTAAGAAACAGGACTGATATAAAACTGCAGACAAAACAGATTTACACCCTTCATAGCAACAACTCTGTAAAAAACTATATTCACTGTAAACTGTAATTGTACTTCTGATTTCCATATCATAAAGGTTTGCAAATAATTAATCTATCATCTTAACGCATTTTTTTTTCTGTTGAGCAAATGCATAGAATTTGATAATTAACATCCACAATTTTCTTTCTTGTCCACCCTCAGAAAATGTACCAAAAAAGACAATATCAGAACATATCACACCTGTTCTGAAATCTGTGCATTGAAGAATTGCTATTGACTTAGACAAACAAACAAAGCTGCTAAATGATGCCATTAAATTATGCAATAACATTGAAGAGGTTATGCTATACAGTAAAGGCTAGAGGTTGAAATAATTATGAAATATGTCTACCTTTCAGATAATGAATCTGAATTTGAAAGGAATTGGCCAAAATAAATAAATAACATAAATATCAGCATAAATAAAGTATTTTGGAAATGAAGTGCTCCACCTGTGCTGACATGTGATTCAATATATAAGTCATATATTTAATTTCAGTTGTACTTCCTTACATCCAAATTCTGCATCCTGTTCACAACCTCAATTCAAATTCAAATCAAATTGGAATTAGATTGGATTGGAATTAAAAAGCTTTTTTAATTCATTTCTGACTAGCACACAACCCTGGTTTGTAGCTTTGTTGAATTCTGTATCCCAAGTGTTGATACGTGTTTACCTTGTTGACAACTCATAATAAAAGGTCACCACAGCTAACAACAACTCAGCTTCTCACAACAGCATCAGAAACACTCCACGCTCTATAATTGTTTATAGGAGGCTATATTGTTTCAGCAACTCACATAGAGTGTAGATTGCAAGTTGATGAGCCTTAAGAGTCAATCATAATGCAATAACCCAGTGCAACCAATTGTGTTCTACTGTAACTCCATTACACCGACCTAGAGAAAATTAAATAAAAATAAGGTCTGAGCTGCAGCCAAAGGGAACAATAACGAAAACTTACCACACAATGTGCTACAATGTGCTGTTCATCTTTTATTAATTTGTGCATGTTCTATTTGCGTATATTCTATGCACAGTACTGTATACAATGTTTCAATGAACAATACAAAGAATGCATTTATAATTCTTGTTCTTGTTCTGTTCAACAAAGGACATACATATATATTTGTAGAACAAGAACACATTGTTTTAATAATGGACATATGGTGCCTAATAATTTCTTTCTCATCATCCGCATAGCTGTAGCAGTAACACTTGACCTTAAATTACTACAAGCATATTAAGTCCTTGAGCACCATGCATGATGTCTTATCTTCAACCCAAACTTTCATCAGCTGAATGTCACATTGTGCTCCAAATACCTTGAAGTTCAACAAAAGAACCTCTGTTTTGTAACCAGTAGTCCTTATATATTTAGATCAGAGAAAATATGAATAATATGAATTGCTCAAGGAAATAAGAGGAAGCACTAACTGTATTCAGCAAAGAGCTGTAAATGTAACAGAGGATTTTTCAATCCTACCCCCCAAAAAAAGTCCCCAATCTCAAATCACCACTTCTTGTTCATTAAAAATCAGTGATCTCTTGCTTCACAGATTGTGTTCCCCTGCCTTCGGTTATTCTGGCATGGCTTGTGAGTGCTGCATCGAAAATCCTCCTCAGGCGGCCAGAGGAACATCAGGAGTGACCCGGAGGCGTCCCACATACAGCGGCCATAATGAAGAGCGGGGAGCTTTGGGAGCTTTCAGCTCAGTGAGCTGTGATGGTGGGGGAGAACTATTCAAAGCCTTATTGAAACATGAATACACTGAGAAGAGTGTCTCCTGTGAGGAACAGGGGCCAAATATCAGGCTGCAGGAGCCGCGGCGTCTTTCTCTGCCATGTCACGACCGTGCACTTATTCCCCCCAAGGCTGCATTTGCCCTTGGAATCAGTGTTGCTAAAAACTATTGCAAATTATATTGTGTTTTGGTGACAAATGGCTTCTGAGCATCCACATGTATTACTTTCAAGATCTCCAACCTACACTTCACCAACCAGATAAACACACACGCAAACCAGCGGAAGAACCTCGGCTCTGAATATTGTTGACATGAGACATGAGATTCCTCCCACTAGACATCTTGAACCAAATGAGTCAAGGGGAAAATTGAGATGAAAGGAAAGTCAGAAACAACTGAGTCTGGAGGAGAAAAAGACTTTACTCTTTATTTGCTGTTTTTA